AGGCTGTTACATTTGCTATCTGTCATACAGAGTAGCAACATAGCTTTCTCACTTCTGTGGGATTTGCCTTTATTTACACAAAGTGTAAGTGGCCTTCTCTGCATGAAGGTCTATTGCGGCTATTTGGATAAGCTCTTCCTGCAATCTCTGCTCTTGGTAGGAGGCGGAGTTCATCTTTGGGATCTTATGAAGATGACAGAGAGGACCTTACCCCTGCACAACTCACCCGGAGGATTCAGGGACTGAAGAAAAAGATCAGGAGATTTGAGGACAAATTCGAAGAGGAGAGGAAATACAGAGTGAGTCTCTAGGAGTTAAGCATTTGTATGGAGGGGTATTCATTACCAACAAAGGGAAGGGACACCAGGGAAGTCTGTCAAATGTACAGGGGGCTTGAAAGCTTTTATAAGGAAAAAAAAAAAAAAAAAAAAAAAAAAAAAAAAAAAAGAAGAAAAAAGCTGCTGTGCAAAGAAAGAAAATGTGCATCCATACCAAGCAAATTATCTTTCCAGGCATTATGTACTATCAGTGCAACATAAGAGATAGCCTAATAAACTCATGGGATTTTTATCACTGCTTAAGGCAGTGTGCCAAAAGCATACGCTCAGTGTGTAGGGATAGCTGTGTTAAACTTGTTTGTTTATTTACTCAAGTTCAGCTTATGGGAAGCACAACTGCGCATCTCATTTGCCTGATGGTAATCCCAGGACACCAGTGCATTGCAGAGGAGAGCGAGCAGCCACCTTTACTCCTGAGCAAGGAACCACAGTCAAGTGCTGCTGAGCAGTGGCAGTGTACTGTACTCTAATTATTCCTGACCTGCCCTTCTGATGCACAGAAAGCTTTTTAAGGAACTAAAGCTTTGCATGTATGCATCTTTGTTGGTGATCTAAACCACAAAGGATTGTACTGAAAGGATCTTGCCTGCAGTAGAAACGGCTGGAAGAAATGCTCAGAGCCTGCTGTAGCCTAGCATTTGGGTTATTTCAGTGTCTTTGGATGTAATGCAGCCTTTGGTGTGGATACATGCATCCTAACACTTCTCAAACTGTTCATGCTAGGCTTCCTCTATTTTGGAGGGGCCCTCTTGTTAGGAAACGATAGGGACACGGATTCCAATGTGCATCTGGCCCTCTGAGCCACTCCTACAACTTAATGTTTGCCATCAAAAGTTTTGTGTTTTCTAAAAAGAAAATCAATCTCATGATGCCCCTAAGAGACAGTGTTGTGACAGGCAGGAGCAATTAAAGCAAGGTCTGAAATGAGCTGGTCAGAGGTATGCAGATGCCAGTCAGAAGCCAGTGCCCATGCCCTGTGCTGGGTCCAAATTCTGTTGTACATCTTTTTGTGACACACGCTTGTTTCAGTGGGTCTCTCCTGTTGGTTTAACACAGATTCAGCATGACTGTTCTTTCCTCCCAGCCTTCCCACAGTGACAAAGCAGCCAACCCTGAAGTGCTCAAATGGACAAATGATTTAGCCAAATTCCGAAAGCAACTTAAAGGTGAGCAGCCACCCCTGGTGCACCTTTGGGGGGCAGCTGGACTCTGCCTCATTAAAATTTGATGTTAGGCAGTGATCCTGTCCCTGTTGCGTTTTTAAAAAGAAAAATTATTCATTTTCCCCCAAATGTCCCTATTTAGAGTCAAAACTGAAGATATCGGAGGAAGACCTTGGCCCTGTTGTGCGTCAGCGGAGCAACACGCTCCCCAAGAGCTTCGGCTCTCAGCTCGAAAAGGACGATGACAAGAAGCAAGACCTGTCAGATAAATCTGCCAAGCCTGCTGTGGAAGCGACCCTTGATTCTATCCAGAAGAAGCTTCAAGAAAAACGAACAGAGACAAACCGACCTGAAGATATTAAGGTACAATGTAGACAGATCAGATTTAGGCCGTTAAGTACAAGTAGGCAACTCGTGGCTGCAGGGTCACTTGTGAAAGCCCTGTGGTCTTCTATGTTTTGTCACAAAGTCTGCAACCTTTACTCCTGGTTCACTTGCTTTAGTTTCTTTCCCTCCGCCTTTAGTATCTGACTTTTTTTCCAGAGCTCGGTTTCTATTGAATGTCATTATGTGTTCTTTTTCTGATCCTTGTATATTCCAAGTAAAGCTTCTGAATTACTGCAATATTTCCTGCGCTGTATTTGGCTATTCCTCTTGTTATGTGCAAAGGCTTTTGGCAAATTCTGAATCTTCCAGTGATTCTGGAGATTGGGTCATCTGTTTTCTTCTAGTTCACTCCAAAGCTGAATGCTCTTTCTGTACTTAGGGCATTTTATCACTGCTCTTCAGAATTTCACATTGAGCTCTGTTAGCTGCTGTAATCTCTGAGGGTTATCAGCAGGGGAGGTCTTTGTGTCTGATGTTGCTAGTTCCTGAGGTTTGGGCAACCTTGTAAGTGAAGTCCTTGAGTCTGCTGACATGTAAATTGTGCAGTGCTTTGTAAGAGAGGGGCAGACAGCATTATCTTTGTTTACTAGATCTGCAGAAGAAGATGATACACACAGTGTGTGTTTGGCTCTTCTCTGACAGTAGCAAGAATCCACAGCCTGGCTGTTTAAAGAGGGCCTGTGATAGTATTTGGTGCTGTGATAGGGAGAGAAGGCTCAGTGTCAGGCAAGTTTAGTAGGGGAACTCTGGCAAACTTAGTTAGGGAAGTCTTCTCCAACTGCCTGCCCTTTTTTTGGCTTGGTCCCCTCCGCCTGTCTGCCAGAGCTTTTCACTCCGTAGCAGAATTGGCAGGAGGAGACAGTCTGACTGCACTTCAGTTCTTCATAAAGCGTGTTTGTGGCAGTCAAAGCAAAGATGGCAAGCTTTGCAAGAGGTACTGGAGCTTGTCTCAGATTTGGAGAAAAAGAAAGAACATGTGTTTTGTTGTAGAATTTACGCTTCAGATCTTAACTGAAAAAGAGCCACCATCATTAAAAGTTGCATACCATTGTTTTTTCAAAGCACACTGATAATCGATAAATCCCCCTGATGTACATAAAATGCCTTCATATAGAAAGTTTATATGGTTTTAATCTGCCTGCATTGTGCATAGGGTGCCACTCACGTTAACAGTCTCTTTGGCAATATAGCTGGGAAAAGAGGACTGGAAGGCAGAGATGAGCCTTCAAAATGTTAATGGCAAAATGACATGACTTTGGTTAGGCCACAAATCAGTATTGTTTGAGTCCAGAAACCTAACTTTTTTTTCTTCCTCCTCTCTCTGTGCCACTTTTCATAGGACATGACAAGAGATCAGATAGCAGCTGAAAAAGTGGCTCTTCAAAAAGCTTTGCTGTATTACGAAAGCATTCATGGCAGACCGGTATGTACAGCAGCATTTTTTTCAAAGTACATCTTTATATGTCTTTGTCTGTGGTAAATGATCCCCCTAATGCTCCTTTGATGTCACAGTCATTAGAATTTCTTGCTGTTCAAACCACACATGCATCCTCTACTCCGCCTCACTGATCCTTCAGTACCGCTGTTACTGAGGAGTCTGTTCTCAGCAAGGTGACGTCTGCACGCAGCACTGGGCTTGGCGGATACCTGTAGGACTGAGCCTACAGGCTGAATGTGCATTATTTTGGCATCACGCTTGCCAGGATCCACAGACATCCAGTTTATGGCCCGGCAGACTCACCAGCTTTGCCGGGGATACAGTCTGCACGGGAATAGTTGTGTGTGGTCCCCCATCCAACCAGGAATTTTGCAGTTTGCCAGTATTAATGACTAACTGGGAAAATAGGTGTGCATACATTGCTCCTTCTCACAGGAGCTACACCGTGTTTCTCCCAGCACCTTCCTCTTTGCAGGGAGGCACCTGCACCTTGCTATTGCACAAATCTCTTGTGCCAAATGATTCATGAAACAGTTTGTCTCCTGAGCATCACGGCGTAAGTTGAGAGGAGACTTCATTCTTCCCCTGAGAAACGGATGTTTTTTTCCATGTGCCAGTGGAAGCAAAGGGCATGAGGTTTCTTGCACATTTGATCCTAACAAAGGAATATTATTTGTGAAGACAGAGAATTAAGTATTGTGTCCTGTTGATCCCTGCTGTGGCAGAAACACGGTGGCTTCCAGGCCACCAAGTTGGCTTTGTATGAATCCCTCTTCCTCTTTCACTGATGGCATTATAATCTTTGCTACCAGCTGTATAGGTAAAGTAACTTAATTTCAGAGCAGAGCTAATCCCTTGAGCAGTGGCTGGGGAGCAGCAAATTACTGCTTATAAGGAGTACTTGATTAGTGCAGCTGACAAATCTGTCATTCTGCTGCTGCATGGGATTCCTGATCTCTTCCTTCCTTTTGCTCCTGAATTATTTCCTCCTTTGTCCATTGTTTTAAAAAAGTCTCACTAATTGATTTAAATGCCTTCATGAAGTGCTAATATTGTACAGTCACATACACAGCAACTGAAAACAGCGTAGTTTGTATGAGAGGACGTGCAGTTCTATTCTTGTGTAAAATAGCAAAAGGCCAGCACAAGGGAATCCATTTAACCTTCCCTGTCTTTTTCATGAGACCGAGTCTGCTTTTGCCGCTTTTACAATGATATAAATCAACAGGTGGCATCTCGTTGAAGTGAACTCGCTTAAATCTGTTTAAAAAGAGAACAAGCCCAGAGCCTAGCTTGTCAGCATACCTTTTTTTTCCTCCCCTTTCTGATGCTTTATTTATACAACTGCTTTTTAATTTGTTTGTTTTTAAGTAAGCAGTCTATACCTAGCAACACTGAACTGCATGGCAAGGAACACTGCAGCCGATCAGCTTTTGCTGTTCCCAGGTCCTGGCACTGCAGCAGTGGAAAAGTACTGAGAGCTAGAGGAGAATGGGGATAGTTCAGCCAAGTAATTTTTTTTTTTTTCTTAAAGATATTTAACTAAAGAAAAACAATGGAGCTCAGATTTATTGTGCAACTGAGTCTTTCTGCACCCATGATAGATGAACCTGCAAAGGTGGAACTGAATGTTTTAGTTAAGCCAAAAAGACCATCTCTGCAGAAATTCTTGAGCTGCTCTAACAATGCGAGCAATGGTCTGTTCCTCGGCTGCGGCTCTTTTGCCATGTGGAGTGTGCCCCAGAGTTGTGTCAAAGGTTCCATTATTCCAGCAGTCTTTTTGCATTTTGATGTTCTCCCAAAATATACTCAGGCTTTGCTGGTATTACTTATGTTTACCTAGTGAGACAGTTTGCCCATGTGCTAAACGTTTTCTTTCAGAATCTGCTTTCTGTTAAGTGTGCTGGTGTAAGTCTGCAGGTCTGACTCAGGCCCCCTACACTTAACTTCCAATGCCTAAATTAATTCTGTGTGTTCTTCCTCCATACTGATATTCAGGCGCTGAAGCATGTCATTTATTTTTTCCATTCTTCAACATGCCTAAGGATTTTTTGCCGATTCCAAGACTTATGTTTATTTTTCTGTACAGAACAGTGCTATTTATCGACTTCAAAATGTTGTTAATTGAAGGTTTGGTTCTCAGCCTCAGCATAAGCCTCAGTAAAGTCTTTTTTTTTTTTTTTTTTAAGTAACGAAACCTGTCTGGGCCCACAGTAGGCCTGTGCCCCCCTTATAATGGGTGTTCTTCTACAAAAAAATATAAAGATCTCTCTCCTCTTCCCCTAAGGGGAAGCCATTAATTCTGCTCTAGTGTTAATCTATTCTACCATGATGATATATCCATTAATGGGTATCATATATCCATTAAACCTTCCACCCTCGCACAGAAAAAAATAACAATAGTTCATTGTAAAAAAGACTAAATGATGTTTTTTTTTTTTTTTTTTAAGTAACGAAGACTGTCTGAGCCAACAGTAGCGCTGTGCCTCCTGTTCTACTAACTGCTAACCTAGTAGAGCTAGGAATAATATTTTATATATATATAGGCTACCCAGTTTCTCCAGCTGTATGTTTGATTGGTTGCAGAGAAACATCCAAAGTTGGAGGCAACTTGCTATCCAGTGCAATTGAATGCAAACACATCAACACGAAACTCGATACAGAGAGGGCTGAGTGAATTGTTTGATGCTGCTCACATCCCTCTAATCCATGTGAGCTGCTTACTCAACGAACAGCCAGCTTGAGGCTATCGGGTATTGGAGCCTGACTGTGCTTCGGAGGTGTGGGACATGCAGGCCCTAGAGCTCGGACTGTCCATCTGTATGCCCCTTATCAGGCTTGGGGATGTTTGCATTGAATCAGAAAGGAATAAAAAGGCCTTCCTTCTTCTTCCTCCCTATTCATCTGCCCCCAACATAGGAAATAGGCTTGGTTACCAGGAGGAAGATGCTGCCTCAAGATTCTTAGAGTTCGTCCCTGCCAGTCCCACTCCTGGCAATACTTACAGCTCTTCTGCCCCTTGCAAACCAACACCCTCTCCTGCTCTGGAGGGAAGATGTGAAAGCTTTAGAAAGCTTACTCCAGTGAAAGTCAACTGCAGACAAAATAAAAGACAGTTCATTTTAAAATTTCCTCCCTGTCTCAAGCTGTATTCCATTTCCTCCTATACCTATTGTAGAAAGAGAGACTGTACAAAGCTCGCTAGGGATTACACTGTTGATGTTGATTTTTATATGGCAGCTGTTCAGATGCTCTGGTGATTAGCAGCAGTAAAAAGCCTTGAGGCAAATAGGCATGACATCAGAATCAGTTAAAGCTTCCCCTCATGAGTGCTTTATAATCTAATGTTAGACAAAAGATCTAATGGAAGGACAGTCGTAGGATGTGGGTCAGATGGTGCTGAATACAAGGAAAGGTGATGATCAGGTTGGTTCTGTTGAGTATTTTGGTTTTTTTGTTTTCAAACCATGCGCAGCTTCCCTTCTCCTGCACTGTCAGTACTACTGAGATTTTTCGGCTTAGCTTGGATCTGAAAGAAAACCAGAAATGAACATGCGCAGTTTGCAACACTCTCAAACTGAGGAGGGAGCACGACGTGCAGCTAGGAGGAGCGGAGTTAGGGACAGAGCAGTGTAAGGAAGGCTTGGGGTGGGCATGACAACACTATTCTGTCTTCCATAGTCCACACAGCCCTGGCACCTTCGTCCCATCTCAGCTCTGTGGTAACTTCTCCCCAGCAAGGTTGCTGGGAGGAGGGGTGGAGCGGAAGGTTAGAGAGTTAAAAAAATGAAGAATTGCTGGCTTGAACAGGAAATTAGGAGGAATAGCAAAGCCGGAAAGTCAGCTTTTGTGAAATCTGTAGTTTAACCTACCCTGAGAAAGTCTCCTTTCATTGCAGTATCCAGTCATTGCAGCTTCTTTCTCTTTTCCTGGGTCACAAACACTACCTCTGAGGTCCTAGCAACAAGAATAAGGGTGGGAAGCCTCATGTTGTGCCTTATAGTGGTAGACAGGATTACAAGCACAGGCTGCTGCCTCTATGGGTCATTTGGTGCTGTGGACATACGATACCTAAGTTGGGCATTTAAAGCACCTGTCTCATACAGCCACATTAGAAGACACCCCACAGTTTGGGTGCTGCTTCATCTGGCACCTGGGACAGGAGGTGCAATGACATACATGAGCACTTGCATTACCAGTTTCTGGGCTAATGCTGCTAACCTGTCATCCTCATGAAATTCCCTTTAAGCCCACTCTGACTAACGGCGATCACAGGCACATGCATTACAGAGTGGAGTATCTGCTGCAGGCTTCATGGATCTCATTTCTTTTTCAGGTTACCAAAAATGAACGACAGGTGATGAAGCCATTGTATGACAGGTATCGCTTGGTCAAGCAGATCCTCTCCAGAGCCAACACCATCCCTATCATTGTGAGTCAAGCATTCTTTCGGGGGCTATTTCTTTGATTTGAGCTGAGGAAACATGAGTCACCACACTTTTGCATACGGCACAATCACTAAGGCCAGGTCCCAACCTCCCTTATCACTCAAAGACCAAGCAAATGAGTGAATCGATGACACACTGTATACTTAAGTCAGGCAAAGCTGCTCAAGGGACTCTACTGCCCGCTCATGAGCCATGGGGCACATTTCACCTTGTGTTGTTTCTCCTCTTTCCGTTGGGCTGCTGCTGTTATTTCATCATCTTGTGTTTGGCTACAGCCTCACTTCCCTTTCCTTCCCAATCCACTCTGAGCTGTAGGTCTTCCATGCTGCTTGGTTACACAGGATTATATGTCAGGAACACAGACTTGTGTGGGTCCCACAGGACTCACTAGTCTCCTTGGCTGAGAGAAAGAGCCAACAGTCTCCTAACACTTCATTTGTATTAAAAAGGTCCTGCAAGTGGTGGATATTCCCTCATTCGAGGTGGTGCTTTGGGCAGGGAGGCACTGCCACCAGCAAGTAATCCAATGCGGCCCTCTAGGGAGCAAATGCACTATCTCTAATTTTAGACAACTTCTGTAGGCTACTTTTTAAAAAATTATTTGATCTAAAAAGTACACACAGAATACTTTTAGCCTGTCTATGGAAAGCAAATTGTTTTATGATGGTTCCTATTTACTCTGTCTGTCATGTACGATCCTTTACTTTTTTTGTTGTTCCCAAGCAGCGCTCGTGTCCTCGCTGCTTTTTGTAGACCGCCAGTGAAGTGAATGGACTGGCACAGCACTACTCAGTGCAGTCACACTGAGAAGTGGAGATTTTTTCTGTAAATAGTCGGAGGTGGTCCTGCATTTAAAACAAAACAAAAAGCTGTTCCTCCTTCAATATGCAAAGTACTCCCCAAAATGTGTGCTGTGAAGATGGTGCCGGCAATCAGGAGGAAGGAACCGTGTAGCCGTGCACGGGCAGTTTAATGGAAAGCTCTCAAAAGAGAGCTCAGGTCCTATTTAGACACAAAACTGAAATTGCACAGTGGCTGGCAGAGGAGAGATGAGACTGGCTTTCCCCAGCCGCTCTAGTGGGAACAGTGAGAGGCTTATGCAGAGCCAGGATACATTTGAAAATCCAGCTCTACATCATTAGGCACATCAGTGGGAAACCAGGCTCCTGGAAAGCAAGCCTGGAGAGTCTAGCTGGGCTTACACTGTAGCTCTGGAGAGCCAACCAGATGTTGTGTGTGTCTCTGGGCCTCGGGCTGGGGATTGTTTTCTTGCAGCCTTTACTTTGTAGTTCCTGCCCAGCTAGTATTCCAGCATCCAAGCGTTTTTTCTTAAAAGTGTTTGGCAGTGATGTTCCTTGCTAAGCAACATCTTTAGAAAAAACAGCCCAAGGTTCAGGGGGTTTGCCGGGCATGTTTTTCTTCTTTAAGAAGTAGATTTCTCCTGACGGTCCAGCGATGAGCTGAGAGTGAATGTGTGGGTGAGAATGAGGTGAGAGCAGGTGGTGGAGGAGAAAGGGGTTCATAATGTAACGTACTTGTTAACACCTGTCACAGGGTTCCCCCTCCAGCAAGCGGAGAAGCCCTTTGCTGCAGCCAATTATCGAGGGCGAAACTGCTTCCTTCTTCAAGGAGATAAAGGTGAAGACCTCCAGCTGCTAACTAATTGCTCAGTTTGCATCAATTTTCCCCTTATACAAATGAAAGAGAATGATTGAATGATTGATATTTTTTTTTCCATCAGTGTTGATTTTTTTGCAGTGTCCTCCTGAAAAATCAGTAGCTGCTTTAAGCCTCACCAGTTCTGATCAAATTCTTCCCTTGTTGTAGATAAGACTACAGTATTTCCTTGGCTTTGCGTTCTTTCCCATCCTTCTCCTTGCCCCTCCACCCGCACAGAATATATTTTATTTTGCTTTAAAAAAAACAAATCACAATTACCTTTGTACATTGCTTTTTTCTTGCTTTCCTCCTTTCTTTTTAATGACACTAACTTGTTTTGCGGTAGTTTCTCTCACTCCAAAGCTCTGTGGCTTGCACACAGCACTGTGGCAGGAATGAGCTCTCACAAAACTAACACTCGCACATGGAGCCAACTGGGGCGCTTACGGGATCCATACCTACTCCCATTCACGTGCTTATTTTATCCAGGGCTCTTTGTCACCACCTTGTGAATGGTATTTCTAGCCAAGTCACATGAGGATGGAAGTAAGAACAACTCGATTCTGCTAGTTAACGCTTGGTCAGATTTGGATGGCAGGATTGTTGTGTTCCTTTCTCGTGCTGCTGTGGGGTAGTAATACTTGGTGGTGAAGACTGCTACGATATTGGGCCTTCTTCCCCGGAGAAGAAGGGAAGTCCAACAGTTGACCAGGACACGCAGCGTGGAGCCGGGCCCTGGCTTGCTTTTGTTACCCTTGCAAAGTAACAGGGGAAAAATGTGCTTCAGCACACTTGGGTCACTTAGCTGTTATCCAGCCAGAGTTTGGTTAATGGTATAAATACTGCAGACCTAGACATCCAAGGTGATTTGATTATTAGGCCATTACAGTAGATTGTATATTAATGGACTATTGAAGGCACATATTCTTTAAAACCAGATTACAGATGGAAGATGTTAATCTGCTGTTTGGAGGGTGTTTAATCATGGCTGAGCTCTCCGTATTTTCTAGATAACTGCTGGATCAAATCTGCAATAGTGGTCTGGTGGGGGGTGGTTTTGTTTTTTTCTTTTAGTGTGTTCTCTATTTTTCACCTGTGCTTGCACCCAGAGTCAAAACTTAGAGCTAGCGGTTATGGTGATCTCTGCTGACCAGCACGGCTGGTGCTGTGCCGGGGCAGCATCGCACCAGCTCAGCAGCATCCTGCAGGTAATACAAACCTTGAGAGGTTTCTGACTGAAGATCAGGGCGACAGCCTTAAGCTGTTAACACTTACATGCCTATTAACACTTAAATGGGGCCCTGTGAAGCTGCTGTGGCAGCTTTGCACTGAGCTACACTCAGGACTAAAGAGAGGAAATTGCCAGAAGGCCTCAAAGCTTTCCACTACGGGCAGAGCACTGCCTATCTCGATGGGCCCCTGACACTGTCAGGTTTTTTTGATTTTGGTGGGTTTTTGAAGCATTTGGGAGAATTGAATAAAAGCTTGAAAGGTGATTTGAGGTGAAGCCTTACCAAACACTTGGGTATAATATCTTGAATATTGTCTGTGTTGAAAAAATCATGGGGAAGCTTGCTTGCTGGGAGTGCTGATGATGGGATACTCTGGAGATTTTATATTTGTAACTCTGCAAAATTTAAATGCCTCATGATTGCCTAAAGATCCAAGCAGGTGCAAGCCAAATGGATCTAGTCAATGAAGACCATTCTGGTGCGAGGTGTAAATGCCAGTGCAGGTTTAAAATAAGATTCCCATGTGACACTTGTTTAAAGCGAAGGCCTTAGATGGCCTTTTCCATTTGAGTTCTCGCTAAGAATCCTTTTAATTCCCTCCTTCATTTTAAACAGCAAAATGCTTTAAGAGGTCTTGTGACAGCCAGATGTAGTGTTTTGGCACTGAGGTCTAAACAAGTTGAATTTCTACACTTTCTTTTCCTCCCATGGGTTTCCATTGGCAGGAGGCTCGCTCCCGAGCTCTGGGCCAGAGTAATCCTTGCTGGCCTGGGCAGCGCGCTGGTGAGACCGGGCTCATGGGCGTCTATGGGGAAGAGACTGCTGCCAGATTTACAGATTCAAGTTACACCTTGCATCTATCCTCAGGAGCAGTTTGTCACACTGCTTATGAAAATTGTCCCTTTCCTTTCTCTCCAGAAGGGGAATCCAGAAGCAACTTGCTCTCCCAGGAAAGGACGTGGGAGCTCCTCCTTTGGTGCCAGAGAGATTCCCCTAAAATAAAGCATACCATTATTACTGCTTAGATTGACTTAGCAAATCCTCCTCCGTGCTGCAGCAGGATTGGCGTTCTCCTGCTTCAGTCCTAGTTGCCCTTACCTGGCAGGGCAGGACAGCATGCGTGGGGACTGGTAAATGGCAGTGAGCGATGGTCTCCCTTCCCCAGCCCAGCCTCAAGTTGTTTGCAGGGTTTAAGGACAATATGTGACTGCTGTTTTATGCCTTCTGTTTAAGCTATATAATTTACATCTGGAGAAACGGTCTTACCTAATCATATGCTAAATATTGCTTTAACTTTCACAAGTTCCCTGCAGATTTTCCTGAGATGTTTTCAGACTTCTCTGTATCTTTTATTATTATGATTACTCAAAACTTGTCTCCAGCTAATCTTTTTTTTTTTTTCATCCTCAGGCCTCCATCTTGGTTGTAATTCTCAGCCTGTGGCTTTGCATTGCATTTTCATGGCCTAGAGCTTTAACGTAAAAAGAAAACTCTGGTCAAACTCTGATTTCATGTAAATGTATGCATTTATAAATCATTGACTTCGAGAGTTTAATGGGACTATGCCAGGTCCTAGTGTTACTTTCTCCCCTTTTGCTTGAAATGTGGGAGCAATCTCGTAGGAATAATTGAACTATTCACAAGGAATCGCATGAAAAAAAGTAGAGCAAATGGCTTCTTTTGATCCCAGTGCAACAATGTATTTTTGCATATACTTGAAGACTTCAGTGATACTAGCCCTCAAAAGCTTTTAAAGATATGCATGTGCTTAGATCCTTCCTAGCTAGGGTTACATGGTTGTAAAATAAATATATATACACATACATACACATTTAAGAGACTTACTGTCCATGCTGGCATTTATTACCTTCCTCTAATGTTCATGCCTCATTCCTTATATTAAGGTTTGAATATTGCCTTCTAGAAATGTCTCTGCAAGTAAGAGAAAACCGGGCCCTGTTCCCTGAAAATCCCAATGATTTCTGGACAGTGTCGCAGGACAAGCTCTACATTTGAGAACGTTATGAATTAGCAAATACCAAGTTCAGCAGAGACTTCCAAATCTTATGCCTATAAATCTTGCAAAAAATTTGAACGCAACCAATTCATCTGTGTATTTTGGGGAAATTGCACTCGGCAGAGTGTTTCCACTCCAGTTTTTAGTGTATTCCAGCTAAATGGTACAGGGCTGATGTCAGGAACATGTTAGCAACAGCAGTCCTCTTGCAGTCAATCATATCCCGCATTTGCGCCGTTGAAAGACTGATCTGAGCTCATTGATATCACTGTACAAGCATTTGAGGCCTTAAATTCAGCCATTAGAGAGAGCTGTTGAGCTGCATCTATTGAGAGAACATTTTGCATTTTAACCTGGCAATCTGTGTGCTGCCAGGTGTATTTGCAGGAAAAGGTAGAGGATGGTGGGTGTGCTTTACGCAGTGTGCATAATGGCTGTAAGTGTTTTTATTTACGTCAGAATACATAAATTAAACAAAGCAACAGGTTGCTAAGAACCCACGGTATTTTTTCACTCAGTTTTGTTGCCTTGGGTCTCATTAACCAGTCTGAGTTGGTGGTCGCAGTTTCTCTGACATGCTTTGGGTATAAGGTGTCTTACTGGTGGTCTTCTGGTGTCCTGTATTGCTTAGCAACTAAAGGGCTTGCTCTGTCTATCCACTTGTCATATCTGTTCCCCAGTGCATGTGGTGAAAGGAGGTACCTGTTTCTGAGAAAGGAAGCAGTAACATATTCTGTTACGGGCGTGCTCTGTCCTTCTCTGTAGGAGGAAGAGGAGGGGTCCGAGGAGGACAGCAACGTGAAGCCAGATTTCACAATTACCATGAAAACAGATTTCAACGTGCGTAGCTTCTTGGATCAGCTAGAAGATGATGCTGACGGCTTTGTTTCCCCGGTGGATGATAAGATGCCATCTAGGAGCAATCAGGATATGGGGCTTTCAAATCTCCATGAAGCATCCATGTATGTTGAATTCACAGGCAACGTCAAAAAGTTATTTCTTGCTAAGATAGCATTTTATTTGTCAGAAAAGTGCGTAGATTTTTTTTTCCAATTATGATCCGAGTCAGAAGTTTTTGCGCTTTATTTTTAAATGCAATAGGCACTCATATGAAAGGGTTTGAGAAGGTTTTGTACAAGGTTTTTACAAGGTTTTTCAGGTTTTGTAGAGGTCAAGTTGAATTAGCTTTGCTAGTTTCAAGCACATAAGTCTGGCGTAGGTCATAGCCGTAAGTCGTGACCATTGAATCTTAATCCTGTAAAAGTCACCAAAACCAGACCCATCTTCAGCAAGTAAGTTTCATAGAAGTTAGTGGTGAATTGTGAAATGCACACTTGATCTCCTTAGAGGCTTCAGCTTAAGCGTATGATCGTTTTGCTGAACTAAATTCAGAGAGCCTTTTGTTGCAATAACATCAGTTTGCCAGAGCTGCTTGCAGGAGCAGCTCCATTGCTTGGCATACATACGACCATACATTTGTAGATTTACTGTATGTTTCCTGTTATAATTGTGTACATATGTATAATCTTCTTTATATTTAAACCCAACAGCCCTGAACTCTTAGAGCAGCTCCAAGAAGTCAGGGAAGAGAAAAAGCGAATCAGGAAAAAATTGAGAGACTTTGAAGATAATTTTTTCCGACAAAATGGAAGGTAATAATTTCTCAGCCGTCTCTCTGTCCTTCAACTATTTTTAATCTGTTTGGCATCTACAAAGACTTCCAAATATGGCAAGTTACCTGAACTCACTATTACATATTTCTTCATCATCATCATCATCAGTATTTTACCCACAGTCGTTACAGTTGTCCATTAAAATTAAATAGTTCCTGCCCCTCCACCCCCGCCAAAGAACTTCAGGAACCACAGCCTTCTTGGAAACTTTGTCTTAGGACAAGCAGCGGGAAGCGAAAGTACAGATTGTGAAAATCTAGCTGCCTCTAGCACAGCTGACAGGAACGATGGAAAAGTTTCCTAGCGATAGAATAATTGGGGTTTTTTTCCTAATGATGTATGTCTAGATTTCTGTCCTATTCTTGCTTGTCTGTGAGGTATTTAGATACTAGTTTAACAAGCATTTCTGCTTTAGTGTAGCTGGGTTTATTGTTTTCAGAAAATGTCCTTCATTAATGAGCTGATAGAATGTTTCAATATATTTATATACTTGAATTATCTTGTTAGTTTCTTGCCACCAGCGGTCATCCTTAGAGGTTCTTGTAGAATCGCTGAAAACTTAGAAGTTTCATGTAGCTAAAAGAAATGTGATCAGGTGTCATCTTCCTTTTTACAAATGTGCCTGTTCATGTAAGTGATGTAGTGCCAAGCTGGGCGAAGCTGTATTTTATTTTGCCGTGCTAGCAGGCTGACGTTCAGATGTCTCCTGTAATGTTTTTCAATTGTCATGTAGAGGCTGGCAATTTCAGAGAAGTAGGGCATGCTTCAAATAAGGCTTTGAACTTGGAACCATGGGATTGTGTTCAGCCTCCATATGCAAGCATCCCACGCTTTGTTGGAGCAGTTTGTTTGCCTCTCTTCCCCCTCCCCAAGGATAAATGTTTTGGTTTTGTTCCCTGATGGGGAGTGGAGGAGAGGAGCTGCTTTGTAGGTCTTGTTGGGGGACGGAGGGAGGCTGCTGAGGGAAGATGTCCTGTTACAGAAATCCTCATGATCCGCTTTCGCTCCCACTAGGAACGTGCAGAAAGACGACCGCACTCCTATGGCTGAAGAATACAATGAATACAAGCAGATTAAGGCCAAGCTGAGGCTGCTGGAGGTCCTGATCAGTAAAAGAGATATTAGTTCCAAGATCATGTAAAGGAGGAGATTGCTTTTGCCAGTAAACGAAGAGGAGAGAGCACCAAATGGACACATGCATGAAGTGGATGCAGCGGGAGCTGGCTGGGGAGAGCTGAGGAGCTCCCTGGGAACTGAAGGGCCATTCCCACAGGCGGGAGGGGGAGGAAAAGTAGCTTTCCATCACTCTCTACACTTGCTGTTGCCCACTCTTTCTCCAGGCCTGATGCCCAAAATGGAGTTTGCCAGCATAGGAGACATGACGCCGCGCTCAGTGACTTCACTGAAGGGATCCTTCTGTTTCGATTTGCTTTACAGATCCTGTAATATTTAGAATATCAAAGCCAGCCATGCTATTCTTTTTTCCGAGGATATCATAGCAAGAGGCAAAGTAGGATGAATAGTGATTAAATCATCAAATAGCTTCTACTTTAGTTTTAACAAAGTGCCCTGACTGATCTCATGTGAAGGCACAGGTCAGATAGCACCAAGACTGTTCTCTTGTAGCTGCAGTAAAGATTTGCTCAGACTTTTGACCTGGCTGTTTGGAGTCAGTCCAGCATCTTCTGTTGCTCTCGCTAAATGCTGTAAGAATTTCCCGGTCGTCACCCAGAGCTGGTGTGAGTTACGGTTTTGCCTAGGCTTGAGTTGGGTGTGTTTCCCATTTTTTTGATGGCCAATTCGACTGAAGTAGAAGAAAGTACTTGCATCTCTTTGGGATAGCAAAGAAAATGAGCCGCGCAGCAAGGTTCTTGCCAGCTTGTTCCACTTGGAAGGTGATACTGTAACATTATGACTGTGTTTAGGCAACTGGGAGGAAAAGAGGTTTTAAAAGCTTTAAGTCAGAATCCCTTGGGATCTTGGTAGCTGATCGGTTAAACATCTGGTGTCAAGTATCTGGAAGATATCTGGAAGACCCACCCCATTAGTATGTGTGCTTCATCATCTGATACAGACGTCGGAGTCCAAGGTGAACAGTCCGTGTGGGTGTCGTACACGCTTGCTAGCCTAAATTTTGTTCTTTTCTGTACACCGTCAATCAGACTATGTGGGCTGCAGCAATGACACTGTGGTGGTGGCAACAGAGGATGGTCTTTTCTTCCTGGTGTGCATTGGTGGTATAGCAGCACAGAGGATACTGCAGGGTACGGAAAGCCTAGAGCTGTGCTCTGCCTGTAGAAAGGGCCCGTGTCTCAGGTGCAGGTTTTGACAATTCAACGTTTTCAAATTCATTTATGACTTTCAGAAAAGAAAGTCCTGGGACACCTGATTCAGGTGCTCGTGTCAGACAAATGCTGCCTGAAGGAGTGAAAGGCAGCGAGTTCAGGAACGCACCAAGTAGCTGAGGGCTCGCAGTTCTGCAGCCCTGGGCCACCTGGGCTCGCTCGCCCACTCGAGGCTTGCATGCACCACCTCTCTCTGCCCCAAGCTGGGGCTCAACCCTGGTGTCCCAGAGAGAGCATTTCTGGAGTGCTTTCTTTTGCGTTGATCCCCAGGGAGCTAACGTGCAGACGCCAAATGGCTGAGATCAAACGCAGTGCCAGTTGTCGTAGGCAGGCCTCACGCAGGTCACGCCGGAGGAGGCGGGAAGAGGACCCCCAGAAAAGCTTCTCCCCCTTTCTTCTTTATATGAGCAAGTGGGCTTACAAATAGATATATTTGGGTTGTGGTGCTTAGACTTACCCCCTTCCACTTGCTGTATGCACTACGTTAATTCTTGCCAAAACTGATGCTGAGGGTGTTTTGGTCTCTTCAGGATCCCATAAACACACCAAAAGGCAACCTTCTCCCAGTGGGTTTGCACATGCCCATTACTAGTCTGGATGGGTAAGGCAGTGATGTGTGTTAGTTAGTGAACGCGCTTAGGAGGGCGACTCCCAGGTTGGGTTGGTTTTGGTTTTTTTGTTTGTTTGTTTACTGATTGCAGAATTGCCCTTTCTATATAAAATCAGTGAAGACTGAATTTTGTATTTCCAAAGGGTCTGGAGGGCTTGCGTGCTGACCTGGGGCTTGGCTTTTCAGAGATGCTGAGTTTCCATCACTTGAGAGATGTGGGGCTCTGCCTCTGCAAAACTGATCCTTTGAGCGTGTTAACTGGGCTGACAGATGGGCTCAAAAACTGCTTTTGAAGACGTTTGACTGGAAGGGAAGCCTGAGCAGGGTAAAACCCTGTCTGAACACAGGGCAGCCCAGGAAAAGAGAGCTGTGCCTTTATCCTTCAGCCTGCTCTTAGGGGCTCTTCCTCTCGGAGTCCACAGTCAGCTCTCCCTGGTTGTTTTAGATATAGCCGCTGAGCCAAACTGGCTGCGGTGTCACTCTGCTGGTAGAAGTGTGAGATGAGAAAGGATGTTGGGTTACAAAGAAGTCCTTAGCGCTGGCTTAGTTTGGTATTGTTCAGGCCCAGTGCAGCAAGGCAAAAGTATGCGTGGTGAGCATGTGCCTCCAGCTGCTCTGCATTTGGGATTTTGCTGAATTACGATGGACTAAAGCTTGGGTGCTTTGCTGTATCTGGGCCTGGACATCTTTATATGGACAGGAGAAGCAGTTTCTGCCCTTTCTTCATAGTCATACGTTTTTCCAGTGGGCCAAGGCTTCCCAGGAGTATGTTTTCTCTGCTTATTTTTAAAAGCCTGTTTGCACTGTGTACTGATAAATTATCTGTTTTGCTGGGTGTTGCCCCTGACAAATCTTGATAAATGATACGTAGGGAACAGTCCATTTTATTTTTTAAACTGATGAGATTGTAGCATTTTCTGATGCTTAGTTACCGCTGTTTACATGGTATATTGCTAGAATTTCAGATAGTTTATATGAAATGTAAGTACGATTATGCACTTTAGAGAGTTTATATTTTTGAACTTTGAAAGCTAAAAGTAACAAAACCTGTTAACTGAGATTGTACATTAAAAGGAAAAAAAAACACATGCCTAGCCATCTCTCTTTTAAAACTGTTCAAGTCTTTCCCTGTGGCAAAAAAAAAAAAAAAAAAAAAAAAAAAAAAAAAAAAAAACAAACCACCAAACAAACCATCATCCACCTAGTTGCGAAGGGAACTGCTAGGAAAGATCATCATAGAGAAGTAGTGAATTTTAATATTCCAGTCCTGGAAAGACAGGTACAAATGCTCAGCTTTCTGTCCGGGGTTTGCAGATGCTGCGACTCCCCTCTCCCAGGCCTGCACAGGAGGAGGGCTCCAAGACCTGAGCACTAAAATGTTGTCTTTGTATCTCCCACGGATGATTTGACTTCCCACTAACCACCAATAGCCAGAAATGATGTTCGCCCCGCCACACTCCTCTCAGTCAATCCAAGCAACATCTGTGCGTTTTGTTTGATGATTTGTCTATGCCAACATCAATGGCTGTTGACTGGAGAACATGAAATAAAAGATTATGTTTTTAAAAGGTGTGAAGTACTGTACAAAAATCTACTTTATGTGATATAAATAAGCTGTTAGTACAAGACAACCTGTTTCCAGACTGTCTGCTGTAGGATGGCAGTGCGGTCTGTTGGGCTTCCCAGCCTCTGGGGCCGTTTCAGACGCATGTCTGTCTGTTACCACATTGTGGTACAATAAATCTTTGCAGTTTATTTAAATGATGACGATGACCGGGTTGTGGACAAAATAAGATTGCAAGAGTTAAAGATAGAGGAAAAACTTGTCATTCTTACAAGTTGCATTTGGTTTTATTCTGTTTACTCCTGAGTAAACAGGCAAATAATGGATGTTTATGTTAAAGGCAGTGAAATTAAAGCATCTTATCTTTTAATCATTCTGCTAAGACATCAATTGTTATTCCTGGTAGGTGCAAGTTTCAGAGGGTAAGCGCGTGCTGCTGGACGTCCTCCAGCCTGAGGTGCTTCCTGCGTCCTCTTTGGAGATGTTTGCAAATCGGTGATTCACCGGCACTTGAAATGAGCTGACGAGGCTGGAGCCAGGCTGGAGCCTGCGACCGTCCCCTCGATGCCTGGTGGCGAAGCTCTCCCTGTTCCGAAGCTCCCCCTGTTCGCGGGGCCGTGCCAGCCGCTGGCCCAGTGCCGGGTCGGCAGGGTCATCCCGGGGCTGCCGAGTTGCCCTTGCCACCGGTGGCCCTTGCTGGCTGGTGGCAACTGCGCAGAAGCACAGCTGCCAGGGGCTGGGCACCCCACCTGGGTTTTGTCACGCACGAGACCAGCTGGTGCTTGGTGTACGGGGTGCGGAGTTGTACTTCAGCTTGTTCTTCAGCTTACTTTGGCTTCACTGTTTCTGTTTCCCAGCTCTTGGGGATGGGATCCGAGGGTTTCTGGCTGTTGGGGAGGGAATTTGGGTCTAGGCTTGTTTCTCTAAGCCAAGGCATAGGAGGGGATTTGCTTGCTCATGTGCAGATGGGGACGTTAATTTTATATTTGAAAGCTGGAACAAGTGGTGACCCTCTAGGGTGGGATAACTTGGTGGAAATGGTGGCTCACTTCCTTCCTATCTCTGGACGCTGCCATATTCCTGAAGGGCAAAGAGACCCTTATCCCAGTGGGTGCACTTACTTACAATGTGCCCGCCAGTTTGGCAGAGGACGCTGATTCCAGCAATATCCCCTGCATCTGTTGTTACAAAAAGCACAGTTAGCACCCGGAGCATCAGCAGAACCGGAGCGAAACCTGGGCCGTGCGCCTGTTGCGTGCCTCGTGGGCTGGGCTGCCCTCACTGTTGTGCACTGGGCAGTGCTGCTGTTCACTCGCCCTTGGGAAACACTGTGCACGGAGCCTGGCCCCGCAGCTGCTGGAGTTAACAGCCGTCTCTTTACTGCCTGCAGCAGGAGGACAACCCTTGGTACGCACGCGGTAGGCATGCCGGTGCTCGCCAGGGCGCCGCT